CTCTTTCCTCCCTCCCTCGCAGTACAGACTGATGCTGAGTCCTGACCAATCGGGGACTCTAAGCTGCAGAAATGGGGGGACCAGACCTGCTGACCCAGCCCTGCAAGCAGCAAGGGGTAAGAAAGTTCAGGCCAAAACAGGGCTCAAGATGGGCAAGAGGACTGCGCAGTCCATGTGGCCGCGGGCGTCTGGCCAGCAGGGAGGACAGGCCAGTGCTGAGAAAAGGCCTGGATTCTTTCATGACGTGCAATTAAGAACTCCCTACACTTTTTTTCACGGGGTCCTCTGTCTTTAGCTACTCCTGGACATGCCCCAGGAATTGAGGCTCAGCAAACTGGGGAGTAAAATGACTAACACATCTTCCTCTGATGATCTAATAGGAGGAGGGAATGAGAGAGCCAGGAATGAAACATTATTTTTCCCGATTAATGGCACCAAAACAAATCTTCTGAAACAATTCCCCTTCCATCACTACACCATGGGAATGGGAAAAAAAAAAAAAAACACAGAAACTTCTATGAGAAAGCTCATTCAGGATGTGGGAGGGCAATGTAATCTCATTATCTCTGGGGCATTCCAGACCAGAGGAAGGCAGGGCAGGTCAGGACAGCGTGCGGCTTCCCCAGGAGAGGCCGAGTGTAATGGAAAGGAGGAGAGAGGGCTCTGGAGCCAGAGTGTGTGGCCTGGCCCTGGCCTCGTCTGAGCAAGAGACCACAGGCCACTACTTAACCCCTGAAGGTCCACTTGTCTTTAACAAGGCAGTGGTGATTTCGCAGGGTGGAAACGTGAGACCGTTCCCTACCTAAGCAGTGCCTTCATACTTTGAATACTACAGGATGTATCGTTTCAGTAATGAAGGAAAAAAATTTTATTTTTTTTTTAATGAGAAAAGAAATGTTTCCAAAGGATCTCCATAACATAGCCGAAAAAGACAATTAATCCCAACTTGCAAAACCACAGACACGCAGCGTTCCCAGGCCTCAGGGCTGTACCACCCTGCTCTGGGCCTCAGCAAACACCAAAGACTGACTCCAAGGAAATAAATCTCTGGGAAAGAGAAAAACATCTGACCCCGCCTCCACTGGATGAGGGTGACAAGACTGCTGTTTCCAGTAGGGAAGCCCCGGGCCAACTCCTTACATACCAACTGCCACCAAGTGTTTGTTTGATCAGAGAACGTTAAGAATTCCACATTTAGGGCATAAAGGCCAAGCCCAAGCCAATTCTGAAAGCTACGCTTGACCAAATCAGGGCCTTTGTGTGAGGGAGCCCTGGCCCCTGCTGGCCTTGGCAGTAACAGGCCATGCAATGAACTCACCTGCTAGAAGGGGTGGCAGCACAGTGGGCCACGTCAGAAGGGGTGTGGGTGGCCAACTTCTCCTGGTCAGCCTGGGCACCGTGGGCAGGTTGGTGGGGAGCAAGGGGTACCCCGCCTTCCTTTCCAGGAACCATTAGCTTTGGGAAAAATGCAAAGAAACAGTGAATCGTGGTAGTGGGATAGGAGGGGAGCCTCGCATCCTAGCACGATGGCATCTGCTCTCAGGATTTTCCATCTCCAGCGCTGTCAGCAACTGGATGGGAGTCCCTGGATCTTTATCCCTGCTGGGACTCAAACCCATGCATGGAAGACACACACGGTAGTGACTACAGAGGAAAAGGGGAAGGGAGGGAGAAGAATGCTGGGCGAGTTTTCCTTCTGGAGTTGAACAGGCTCTGCCCTCTCAGAGTCACTTAGCCGCCCTCAGGTTATAAGAGCATTCCTTCAGAGTACTTAGAACATCTGAGTCTGAAGAGGCCCCTCCACTGCCTCAGGGGGTACGGGCAGCCGCTGGAAGTCCCAAGGCCCGCCCCATCTTTCAAGATACCTGGTGAGGGTGTGTGGCATTTAAGCCAGCAGCGAACACTACTGGATAAGCCAGGTCAGCTGATCCAACGCCCAGGACAGCAGGCTGATAGGGAAGGCGAGAGCTTGAGAGCTAAGCGAGAGAAAAACAGAGCATCCTAGAGAGACTAACGGTGGAGCTCAGCAGACAGGAGCAGACCCAGCCCACAGCCCACAGTGCAGGGGCCTGACAGGATAAGGATTAAGGACAGACCAGGCCTCGGAGGGGTTTCTTGCTCCCTCTTTCCCACAGGCTCGGCTAACTGTCTCAGTTCCAAGCCCGGCAGATCTGTGGGGCACACGCCTGGGCAGAACTTGGAGCGAGTCATCGGTTTTTCCAGTCACTCTATTTTCTCCTTTGTCCTTGGGGTCCCTTTGAAACATAAGGCCATCTTCGCTAATCACACCCTCCATCACCCCTGGGCATGGGAAGGCTCCTATTTATAGTGAAAGAAAGAATGAATACCAGACTGGAATTGTTTATTTGGAAATTCGATATAAATAACTCCATGTATTTTTCACATCAATGGTAGGAGGAGGGGCAAATGAGAACTCCTGTTTGAACAGCTGGGCAGTGGCTGTGTCCTGTTAAAAGCAATTACCAAGATCAAAATAATCCCACAGAACACTTGGGGACACTTAAGAAACTAGACCCTGCATTTTATTTACAACTTTTACATAAAAAGATGACATCTGATTGTATCCCCTTCTTCCCATTATGGACTCACTTGATGGGAAAAGGCCAGTCCTGCCATGGGGACCCTCAGGGTGTCCGTCACCACAGGAGTAGGGGTCTGAAAATGTGCCTTTGTGACAGTAAACACACACTGTGTACGGACACACATAGAGACAGGGAAAACAAGAGAAGAAAAAAGAAAAGGGACTTGAGAAAGAAGTGAAACCAACTCTGGAAGGGGCGGCACTGGTGAGACGGGAGCGAGGCGGGGGAAAGGTGCGCCGCTGTCCTCCCCAGGGACGGGGTAGAGAGCTCCCTGGTGGCAGTGTTTGTCCCAAGGGTGCCACCCGGCCTATCTCCCTGATGAGCAGCTGGAAAACAAGGCTGGCTCAAGCTGGTATGACTTGGCAAAGCAAAGCAGATAAACCCCAACCAAGCGGGTGGGGTTGGGGAGGTTAGAGAAGAGCCTCCAATGGGACGGCCTGGAGCCAGGTGTGTGGAAGATGGAGGAGGATGCCGGGCGGGCACTGTTAAACTGAAAGCCCTTCTCACGGGTCAGAAGGGGCTGGGACAGGTTAAAACAGATGACATTTTTAGCCAGAACTTGACAAAGTTTAGAGGCCCATTTCCCTCCGTCATCCTTGAGGGGTGAGCTGGTGTGCAGTGTGGTGTGTGTGTTTTATTTTTTAGACAGGCTCTTGCCACACTGCGACCCTCCTGTCAAAGCCCCCAGAGTCACTGAGACTGCAGGCTTACTCTATTACATCAGGCCTTTAGGATGGACAGGGAATCAAACCTGGGCCTCCATGTGGTACCAGCGTGCGGAGCACAGTGTCTTAGCGAGACAACCACCCCGACTGGGCCCGTGTGTGTTCTTTTAGGCCTTGATGGTCTGGGCAAACATGAGAGAGTAAAAGCTGGGCACTTTATCAAAAGGTCTATGATTTCAAAGCTAATGTGGGCATGATTCATTTATTGGCAAAACAAACATTCTATTAACACATATTACTAGACTCTAGCAAAAGCACCATCCATAGAAGCTGTTAAGGGCCAGCATGTAGCATGGTGGTAAAGGTGCTGGATCCCACATGGCTGACTCCACAGTTCAAGTCCCAGACCTTGTGGCTTGAAAAACGCACTGGTGCCTTTGCTTGTACACCCAAAATACCAAGAGAACAGAGGAGAAGGGATTGCAGTGTAGCCATCCCCCTGGAGTGTGATTTCTCCCCAACCTCCACTGAGTGTACATGCCCTATGGCAAAAATCTTAAAAAAAAAAAAACCTACTGAATGATTATGCAAGTCTTTAAACTAAAAAATAAACTACTGTAATATTATCAGTAGTGTATCAGACTGCAGAGCTGGAAGCCACATGCCCACCAGTTTGAGACCCTGGTTCTGCGGCACCTAGGATCCTAACGGATTAGAGGACTGGACAGAAGGGATCACAGTGGGGCACCCTTGTGGAAGGTGCTACTCTTTCTTCCTCTCTTCCTTGTGTGTGTATATATGCTCTATCGTGAATTTGAAAAAAAAGTATATATATTCACACATTATTTTTCAATTTAATTAATTAATTTTAATTTGAACAGAGACAGATTGAGGTGGTGTGGGGGCGGGGGCGAGTCAGAAAGCAAGCCACCAGGTCTGGGACTCGAACTGTAGTTGACCATGTGAGTGTCCAGCACCTTAACCACTACGCCACCTACTGGCCCCAAACATACACATGTATTCACAGGAATGAGGAGAACTGATAGCAAATGATGTCCTCTCTCTGCCACCCATCACAGTTGAGAAACAGTATTTCTGCACCAAACTAGACCAGCCTTGCCTAGCAGTACTGACGACAGGATCCACCTATGGAGTACAGACCACTGATAAAAACTCAGTGTGGGGACCAGCAGTTAGCGTAATGGCTATGTTGCTGGACTCCCACGTAGTGGACCACGGTTTGCGTCCTGGACCCGGTGGCTTAAAACTCATGCCGGGTGTGTGTGCATGCGTGTCCAGGATCCCGAGAGGAGAATGGAGGAGAAGGGATTGCGGTGTGGCCAACCACCCCCGGGGGTGAATTCTCGCTTTCTGTCTCTCTATCTCTGTCTGGCGAGCGCACGCGCCCTACAGCAAAAACCTCTTAAAAAACAAAAAACAAAACAAAACAAAACTCATTGTGACCCTTTTTTCCTTCAGGTTATTGCTATAGAGTACTTGTGCTCACCGCAGAGTGAAAGAAACAGAAAGAGGGGAAGTGAGCACCTCCCACCCGAGGAGGACTGACTATGCTGCAATCCCTTCTCCTCTGTTCTTTCCTTGGGATTTGGGCACACATGCACACACGTGTGCCCATTTTCAAGCTGCTGGATCTGGGACTTGAATCATGGATGGCTATGTGGGAGTCTAGCATCTCAACCATCACATCATCTGCTGGCCCCATGATCTAGTTTTAAGTTGTGATAAGACACCAATAGGCAACTGATACTATGGAAAAGATAGCCTCTTTTTTTTTTTGAAAGAGATTTTTTGTGATAGGGCAAGTGCACTCGCCAGAGAGCTAGAAAGTAAGAAATCACCCCCTGGGGGAGTGGCCATGCCGCACACAATCCCTTCTCCTCCATTCTCCTCTTGGGATTCTGGGCACGCATACATGACTGGAGAGAGTTTCAAGCCACCGGGTCTGAGACCTGAACCGAGGTCAACTACATGAGAGACCAGCAATGTAACCATTACACCATCCACTGGTCCCACGATAGCTTCATTTCCACAGGCCAATAGACTTTTTTTTTTTGGAGAGGTTTTTCTTTTTTTGCTATAGGGTGTGTGCGCTTCCCAAAAAGACAGAGAGAGACAGAGAGACAGAAAGCGAGAAATCACCCCCCGCCCCCCTGGGGAGATGGCCATACCACAATCCCTTCTGCTCCATTCTCCTCTTGGGATCTTGGGCACGCACACACACACGCCCAGTGTGAGTTTAAGCCACCAGGTCCAGGACTCAAACTGCGGTCAACTATATAGGAGTCCAGCGACATAGCCATTATACTAACTGCTGGTCCCCAGGCCAATAGATTTCTCTGTAAGCATGAAATGGAGAAACTATTGGATCTTTGGAAAAGTCATGATGTATTTTTTCTATGCAAAAATGTGTCATGACTTTTCCAGTGACCCAGTACTTAACTCCCCATTACTTTTGAGATCAAATTTCCATTATATCAGAAAAACTGATTTGTTAAGGTCCAGCTTTACCATCCCTCATATCTATTTTTTTTAGGTTTTTGTGATAGGGTGCACGCACTTGCCAGAGAGAGACAGAGAGACAGTGTAAGGGAAAGTGGGAAATCACCTCCCGGTGGGGGGGCGGGGGAAGACCATGCCACGATTCCTTCTCCTGCATTCTCCTGGGATTTGGGTCATGCATGCACATGTTCCCGGCATGAGTCTCAGCTCACCAGGTCCAGGACTTGAAGTATGGTCAACCTTGTGGGAGAGTCCAGCACCTTAATGACCACGGCACATGCAGGCTCCGTCTTTTAACTTTATTTTTATCCAGATTGTTTAAAATTTATTTTATTTATGACAGCATGTGCGCAGACATGAGAGAGAGAGACAGGAGGAGGAGAGCGAGCGAGAAGCACCCTCAGCAGGGTCTCACTACACTGTGATCTCTTCCCCTTTCCCCAGCCCTCCAGCAGCTCGGGATCCTGGCACTTGCGTGTACACTAGAGCATGTTTCCAGCAAGCTGTGGCTAGCCACATGGCATCTAGCATGGCAGTTCAATTTGCTACGAATTGTGCCACCAGGCTGGGCCACAAATTTATTTATTGTTTATAAATCCATCACTTATAAAATAAAAGCAAACTGGTTAATAAACCTAAATGTGAAATAACCACTTTCTGGGTAGCTAAAAAGTAACCTACACTCAACAAAACGCACTAGTAAGTGGGTCTTTCCCTCTGTCTGACAGTGCTGCTCTGGGTCAGTACGCATTCCAGAAGCTTCCCTCTTTTCCCAGAGGAACGCTGACACTTGGGTCTCTGTGCACTCATGGGGAAAGGGGACAATTCCCATACCCTAGAGCAGACTGGCCAGGCAATGTTAGAACAAGCTCTTTCAGCCTAAACAAAGTGGAGCAACAGGAACTACAGGCCTCTGCGGGCTCTGCATGTCGCCCACAGACATTAAGCCCTGCCGCTGGTCAGAACTGTGGCTTTAATCCAGTATCTCCCAAACAACCAGGGTGGGAAAATGTTAAAATCTATGGTAATTTAAAAAACAGAAAATTGGGGCTAGCAGTAGCAGAGTGGTTAAAGGCACTGGACTCCCACCTGGCCAACTGTGGTTTCAGCCCTAGATCTGGTGGCTTCCTTTCTCACTTTCCCTCTCTCTCTCTTTGTCTCTCTCTGGTCAAACTGGAAAATAATAATAATAATAATAATAACAGTAATAAATAAAGTTAAATAAAGTAATTCTTTAAAAAAAAAACACAAAAAAATAAAAGTTGATGAACCACTAAGTAATGTGTCAGGCCCCTCCTGCGTGATGGTGAAATGGGATAACCTGGAGTCAGTTTAAAGGAAAGCAGAACTGAGGTAGGTCTAGAAGACACCATCCAATGTGCCAGTCAAGAGGGAGGGGAATCACGGCAGAGCAGGGACCTGGAAGCGATGCAACAGAAGACGAGCGACATGGGGTAAAAGCGAGGAAAGGTGCCCTGGGGTTTGGTCAGCTGGCAAAAATGACCGGTTAGCCAAAGCAGCCTCAGCGCCATGTGTATTACGTTAGAACAGACAGGCTTCCTCTTGGGAAGCCAACCACACTGGCTGGACCCTGGGTCTCACTGACATGAGTTTATCTCTGAACACTGGTTCAAGTGGAAAAGTTAGCAGTTAAAAATGTTAGATAGAGAATGTAAATAGTCAGAAATCTGTGTCAACTATTAAGAAAAACTATACTACTGGCTTACTTTTTAAAAAATGATTTAATTCTATTTATTATTATGTTTTAATAATATAATAACACATAATAACAGAGAGAGATGCAGAGAGAGAGGGAGAGTGAGAAAGCAAGCCACATGTCTGAGACGTAAACTGCATTCAGCCTTATGGGAGTCCAGCGCCTTAACCACCACGCCACCTGCTGGCTCCATTGCTGACTTCTTACTGGCATTTTAGACTATAAAAATTATTGGCACTTTTTGGGCTCCTTCCATTAACAGAAACCAACTTACTGCTTCAAAAGAGAAGTAGCTACTAAATAAAGCAGGTGTAGGTGAGTACCTCTCTGGTGTCAGAATGCATTTAGAATTTTGTAACTAATTTTCTGGAAAACTTAATTATGTCACCAGGAAGGTAAAAACTTCATGTAATCCTAAGGGTTAAGAATGGTTATAGGGATAAGGTGGGAGGCAGCAGTAATGTAGCTGGACCCACATGGTTCAAATTCTAGCCCAGGACCTCCCTGGGCCGACCAGGTGCAAAGGCGTGCCCATGACCAGGGCTGGCTGAGAACGGGGTGGACTGCAGTGTGAAGATGCTGTTGGGAGAGCCTGTCTCTTTCTCATGGAAGAAATAAACTTAAAAGGAAAATTATGCTTAGGGCTGGCCTAGTGGCCTAGGGGTTAAGGGAGTCAGATCCTACATAGCTGAGCATACAGTATGAATCCCAGCTCTGGCAGCTTGACAAACATCCCTCTCGGGGTGTGTGTACATGTATGTCTCAAAACCTAATAGGACAGAGAAATGGATGAGTTGGGACTGCAGCATGATCACGTCCCACTGGGGGATGCTTTCTCCCTCTCCCTTTCTCGTTGGCTAACTCGCTCTGGTTGGAGCATACGCCCTCTGGCAAATGAAAAAAAATTACGCCTATAAGAAATATAAGAATGGTGACACACTTGGGGAAGCCCGTGGTGTGGTTGTTAAGGCAGCTAGATTCCACATGGCTGACTGTGCTTTCAAGTACCAGATCTGGCAGCTTGAAAAACATACCAGGTGTGTGCACATGCATGCCCAAAATCCCAAGAAGAAAACAGAAGGGATTGCGGCATGGCCATTTTCCCCGAAGGGGTGCTTTCTCACATTCCCTCTCTTTCTCTGTCTCCAGCGAGCACATGTGCCCATTGGCACATTGAAAAAAAAGAATGGTCACAAATTAAACATGAGAGAGTATCAAAAACTCATGGAAAAATAGGATAGGAATAAAAGATTTTTTCCATGCACCTTCTGAAAATGCCTCATACTATCTGCTAAATGAGAAGGCACTGTCTTGCCCCTCAAGGTAAAGGTAGCTGGATACTACATCAGCGACCATGTGGCTTATGTCCTGGACCTGGTGGCTTGAGAAACATACTGGGTATGTGTGCCTGTGTCCCCCAAATCCTGAAAGCACAGAAGAATGAAAAAAAGACTGTGGTGTGATCATGCCCCATAGGTGGGGGAACTGGGGAGGCACTTTCTCATTTTCTCTCTCTCCCTCTCTCTTTCTGTCAAAGGGTGCATGTACCTTCCGGCAAATAAATAAATAAGCAACCCACTTAAAATAATCACCATCGCCTCCAAAAAGGATTATAAATTTGGACACAATTTCATAAGTCCCATATATATCCCAAATAACTACTACCACCCTAGAGCCTGTCTCCCCTACCTGGGATGGAGGGGACGTGGAAAAAGAAGTGGTGCACACTTCCTGAGAGTCTTCCACAGATGGGTACGTTCCTCCAGTGTCTTCGCCAGCAGTTCTAAAGGAAGGGTAAAAGGAAGAATGAATGTCATGATGGTGGCAGTGCATCCCAGGAAGGACGCAATGGTTAAAGGAGGGAGGGAGTTCACAATGCAAGGGAAGTGTACTGAGTCCTCGACCGTTTCACACAGTTCCAGGAAGTAGCCTCTAGAAGTCTGACAATGTTTGGTGATTTTTTTAAGACAGTATTTTCTTAATCTGGGTCAGTAAGGGGTCCTCAAAGAATTGTCAGTAATAGAGACTCAGTAAAGCAAAAGTCTAAACCAGAAAGACAAACCTATCCAACTTCACAAGCCCATTACATAGAGGTGGTACTCTTCCTGATGCACAACTGTTTCAAACCCAGAGAATTCTCTTTTCTGGGAGCTAGGCCTGGAGAAACTTATTCTGATATATGAACTTCTAGATGATGACCTAAAATCCATTCAATTTTCCAAGGACATTGCATAAATGACTATGACCCTCGAAGTCTCAAAGTAACTTCCTCCAGAGAAAAGTCTTATTGCTACTATCAAGAAGCAAAATGTCTAGGACTTTGCTAGGACATTCTGGATACTGCAAGCCTTGGTGTACCTAACAGGTGCACTGAGAAGTGAAACTGGCCACTGGACGGCTTTCCACGCGGGGAGCTTCTCCAGCAGGGTCTGCCCACTGGTAAATGTGCACGGGGAAAGGTGCTCTATGCACCTGCACACGACGGGTGCTTTGGCCTTGCCATGGGCTATTTCTCACCTGTAATTGCAGGGGTGCATGGGAGAGGAGCTGGGATAGGGACGGTCCACAAAGTGATCAATGATAATCCCCATGATAGGTGGGGTCCTCTCAAATTGCCTGCCATGGAATAAGCAGATTACAGTATTTGTTAGAATGCCTTTCCTGGTCCCCACCCCAACCAAGGTCCTCAGAAAAACCCTCCATGTCTTTTTGTTTTTGTTTTCTTTTTAAAAAAAAATTTCTAGAGGGTGCATGTGGTCACTAGAGAAAAACAGAAAGATAGAGGATGGCGGGAGAGGGAGAAAGCACCCCGCAATGGGGAAAGGTCACACAGCAATCCCTTTTCATCCATTTCTCCATCCTTTGGGCTTGAGGCACACATACACATGTGTCTGGTGTATTTCTCAAGCTGCTGGGATCAGTATTTGAAGGTGTGCTCACCCATGTGGGGTTTGGCTCCCTTAACCCTTAGACCATGGTGCTGGTCTGAGGCACGCTCCCTTTCTAGCTGCTGGCAGGCACTACCAGACTGTAAACTCTTGCAGTTTCTAAATATAAAGCACATGCTCTACATTTTGGCAAGTCGGCTCAAACTCTGACGACTGCTCTTCCTTTCTCAATTCTATCCTCCTGAAGGGGCTTCTTTCGGCAACAGTGAAGCTTAATTGTAGGCTTCACTGGGATCTGGGCAGGGGATCAGAACTTGGGCAGGGGAGAGTTCTTTTGGATCCCTGGCTTTTCCTCACCTGGTGGACATGAATGCCAAGTTAATTCTGTAAGCACACGAAAGAGTGATGGTGCCCACAGGGGTGCCCACGGTCCCAACACGAACTGTCTGGAAGCCTAGCAGAAGAAAGGAAGCATTAGCTTTTCTGCAGAGAACACTGACTGCCTGAGCCTGGCTTTCTCTGAATCATTTAGCCTCTTAGCCATTCGGCACCCTTACGTGTAGAATCTCCATTTCATATATGTGTGTATGAAACTACAGTTCTTTCTCTTTTAATTTACTCTATATTTAAAACTGTCTTCATAGAGATAAAATAATTGTTAGTCCTAAAGCCTGAGAACTGCTAACCAACCCTACCTAGATTTGTCATGTGCCCAATGAGACGGGGGAGGAACCCTAGGAACCCATAACAAAATCACCTCAATTCATGAACACCTCCACCCAAGCTGCCCCTCCAAAACGAGGTTGAGAAAAGAGCCAGAGCCTTGCAAGTGGGCTTCCAACAGCGCTTTCCCAGTTTTCTTGGCTTTATTTCCAACTTTTCAAAACTACTTATCAGAAACATTTAACAGGCTCATTGTAAAGAGTTAAGAAAAGTGCATGATCATATAAAGAATAAGAAAGGATACTGAGTTCTTGGACCCTCTGGAGAAATTTACTGGGTCGTCCCTGGCAACTCTGTGGACCTCCTTGCATTCTCTTTTTACCCTTACTTGCATTATACAAAATGAGACTGCAAACTTCATATTATTATAGGGAGCAACCAAACGCATCTCTGAAGTCAGGAGGGCTCTAAACAAGACAAATTTTCAATCTTAACACAAACCTTCTCCTAAGCCATTCAGCTGAACTTCCCCAAAATATATTCTGCAGAGAAGAAAGAAAAAGAAATGTTATCTGATTCTTTATTCTAAAGGCCTTTATAGCCAAAACACTTAGAAATAAACCAAACAAGCCCATCTTTCCAAATGATTGTTCCTGATGAACCAATCATGCTACTATTTTATTAAACTGCAGGCATGAAGATGGGGGGGTTGCACCAAAAATATGAGGAAGATAATAATCAAGTTGTAATACTGTGAACTACATATTTGGTCTCCATCCCCATTCCCTGGCACTCAACTAAAATCCTGAGAATCTTTAAAGTAATGAAGTCTTGTTTGGTAATAAGCTAACTGGCGGCTGGCAGCTCCGAGGTAGCTTCAGGATGGGCACCGGTCACCAGGAAGACCAAGGCAGGATTAGAGGGATGGGACCTGCAGCTCCCCGCTAACTTCCAAGGAAGGGAGGGGGCTGAAGGTTAGGGTGAACACCAACGACCAGTGAAGTAGCAGTCATGCTCAGGAGGTGAAGGCTCCGGGAAAGCCCCCAGGGCCAGGGTTAAGAGAGATTTTGGGAGCTGGCCATGTGAGATTTCCTGCAGGGAGCCTGTCAGAGAGTGCAGTGGCTCTCCTCATCTGTGTACTGTGGAATGTCCTTTAAAATAACTCGGTAAACCTAAATGAAGTGTCTCCCTGAGTCCTGTGATCCGCTCTAGCAAATTAACCTAAGGAGCGGGTCATAGGAACACCGATTTATAGCTGGTCAGAAACACAGGTGACAACCTAAGGCTTATGACTGGCATCAGAACTGGGGGTCAGTGTCATGGAACTAAGCTGTCAACCTGTGGGATGTGACCCTATTTCAAAGGTAGACACTGTAGTAATTGAATTGAATTAGGAGACACCCAGCAGGTGCAAAATCTGTAAAACTGACTGGTTGGTTGTTGGCGGGGAGAAATCCCCCACACGCATCCTGGTGATCTGGGATCACAGAAGTCTTCTGTGTCGATTGCTGCTGAGCAAGAGTATAGCAGAAACATGGGGACCAGCAGGTGGCATGGTGGTTAAGGCGCTGGACACTCCCACATGCCCAACCACAGTTCAAGTCCTGGACCTGGTAGCTTGCTTTCCCTCTCCGTCTCTCTCTGGTCAAATTAAAATAAATAAATGAATAAATCAAATTTTAAAAAACAGTCTAAGAGAAATTGAGTCAGAGCTTTTTCACCCCACACACAAGTAGAAACTGCTGTTTAAACTTCTTTTCCCTGCTTCTGCAATATATTTAAAAAGTGTACCTACTGGGAAAGGCAGATTATGTAAATAAAACTGGCAGACAGATCTAGAACTACTATTAGAAGGTACAAGATTTTGACAAGTGGTCTTCGGAAATGTGGAACTCCTGTGCTGTCACAGCCTTTCCAAATCAAATGGGTTAAGAGAGTAGACAACTGGGGCCAGTGGGTGGCGTCATGATTGAGGCGCTGGATCCACATGGCGACGGCAGTCTGGGTCCGAGATGTGGCAGCTTGCTTTCTCACTTTCCCTCTCACTCTCTCTAGTGAGCATGTGTACCCTATAGCCAATTAAAAAAAAATAGTAATAATAATAAAATTAAATTTTAAAAAATAAGAAACTAAAAAAAAAGAAAGTAGAAAACCTATTCTACCATGGAATAATTAACCAAGAAAGCCTATTCTGAAAAAATAAAAGTATAACAGAGCCTTCCCATGAATCTCCCGGGGTACCCAGTCTACATTAGCAAAAAGTCTGAATTTAAAACACCTAAAATGTATTTTCATGTTTTTCTAGTAGTATTGCTAAAAATTAAGCATATAAAATAGGTTTAGTAATGAATGCTAGGACCTCACAATGTACAAAAATCTCACAATTAGATCTGATAGGGAGAAAAGGCAATGTATAGAAATATCTGAAATACATGCATGAAAGTAACAGACATAACAAAGCATGAAGTTTGAGTAGCCAAATCTTTTCTAAGGACCAGATAGGAAATATTTTATGCTTGTAAGTCTGTGGGACTACTCAGCTTTCTAGTAACTTACAAAAGGAGCCACAGACAATATGTAAATGAATAAGTGGTGACGTCCTAAACGTACTTTATTAATTAAAAATAAGCCACATGGGGACCAGCAGTTGGCGTAACGGCTGTGTCACTGGACTCCCATTTAGTTGACCGCAGTTTGAGTCCAAGACCCGGTGGCTTAAACTCACACAGGGTGCATGTGCATCTGTTCCCAAGAGAGGAGAATGGAGAAGAATCCAGCGTGGCCATCCCCCCTGGGGGGTGATTTCTCACTTTCTATCTCTCTGTCTTTCTGGTGAGTACATGTGCCCTATAGCAAAAACTTCTCAAAAAAAAAAAAAAAAAGAAAAAGAAAAAGAAAAAGCCACACTGGGGGGGCCAGCAGGTGGCATGGTGGGTAAGGATGCTGAACTCCCACATAGTTAACCATGGTTCAAGTCCCGGACCTGATGGCTTGCTTTCTCACTTTCTCTCTTACTCTTGTCAAATTAAAGTAAATAATTAAATAAAGTTAAAAAAATAATTCTTAAATAAATAAATAAGCACATAGGGCCAACAAATGGCATAATGGTTATATTGCTGGATGCTAACATAGTTGACTATGGTTTGAGTCCCAGACCCAGGGGCTAAAAAAGACTCACAATGGGTACATGTACATGCATACCCAAAATCCCAAGAGGAGAATGGAGGATGGAAGAGAAGGGATTGCGGTGTGGATATCTTCCCAAGGGGTGATTTCTTGCTTCTGTCTCTCTGTTCTCCTGTGAGCAAACATGCCCTATAGCAAAAATATCTCTAAAAACAAAAATTAATAAATAAAATAAAAATAAGCACATGATCTCCTTGCTGTTCATAGCTACTAACTAATGCAATAAAGTAATTTAAATGTGGCTGAAGGAGATCTTGCTAGGTACCCTTTAATAAATAACAATGAATAATTTAATTAGTTCACAATTCATTTGGATATTGGTGCTGTGCTTGAAATATGTTAAATGTTTTCTTGACTGTGCTTTTTTTTTTTTGCTATTGGGCATGTGCCTTTACCAGAGAGACAGGGAGAGAGGGAGAGATGCAGGAAACGATCCCTTCTCCATTGTCCTTTTGGGATTTTAGGTATGCACGCACACACACCTGGTGTGTTTTTGAAGATGCTGGGTTTGCTGGGTTGGAACTCAATCCATAGAGTCAACCCTGTGGGATCCACCTGTCTTTTTTTTTTTTTTTAAATTATTTATTGAGCTTTATTTATTCATTCATTTTAAATTTGACCAGAGACATACACACAGACGGAAAGTGAGAGAGAAAATGATAAAGCAAGCCGCCAGGTCCAGGACTTGAACCGTGGTCAGCCATGTGGGAGCTTCCAGCGCCTTAACCACCACGCCACCCGCTGGTCCACTTGGCCCACCTGTCTTAACCATCAAACCATCAGCTGCATTCCTGGCCGTGTTCTTTATGCATTCAGGTTTGTTAAGGAAAACTTTTCTTCAGAGATTGTAGATGGTAAAACTTTAATTTAGTCTTGATGTACAACGAATTCAGGATAAGTTGTTTTATAATAATGGAACTCTACAGTGACATGACCAAATCAACAGGGGTTAAAAAAAGAAGATATGGCTAGGAATAAAAAATAAAAAAGACAAGGCCATCCTTTCACGGTCTAGGGCTATTAACCTCCTAATAACAATATAAAAAGGAAAAAAAAAAAGAGCCAGTCTACTTATGAGATCACCCACCTCTCTACTGTTTAAGCCACAGTATCTGTGTCCAAAAGCATGCATACATGATAAACGGACATGAGCAATACATAATATTCCAGAAATATAGGAAAAAGGAAGGCTTAAGCCACTGATATGAAAAAGACGAGGAGCCCCAGTTATGTAAGCTGATGATTTCAGTGGAATAGAATGGCTACTTAACATAAGAACCGAAGAAAAGGGAACGTAACATAGCTAAAAGAGAGGTTAAGAGCGAAAAAGTACTCTTTCTATTATAACTGAATAAAGTCTGGAAACTTTCAAATGGATCATTCAACTCGAAATCTGGGAAGACTAAAAAGCAGACAACAAACATTTATTGAAGACTTGGTAAAATAAACATGGTTAGGGCTGCGAGATTATTGCTAAGAAAGGTGAAGTTTGAATGATAACTATTTCCAGAAGTTTCTCCTCCTTGGTCCCTCTGTCCTGCTGTACTAACCCTCCTAACAATTAGCTTATACATGTAAGCAAAAAGCTAATAAAAGGCTTCTCGCTAACGCAAAAGACAGGTGTCTGGTATGATGTGGAACCCATGGCTTTTGATGCTCTGCTCTCACCCTTCCACACCTCCACCCCACCACGCAGAGCCACCTGAACTGTGAGGACAGCTGCTCGCCCGCCCCCCACTTCTCCGCCTCGCTAGCTGTCGGACTTGCCATGAAATGCTCCTCGCACCTCCAGCCGCAACTCTCCTTACCTCATGGTCCAGCTCAAACGACACTTCCCGTGAGGGCCTGTTATTTCTCCCACCAAGAAGAACCTTTCCCGCTCCCTGTGTTCTCCAAGTACTTTTTTCCTGATACTGCTGTGCAGTTTTCAACTCCTACTTTATAGTATAACTGTGCACATATTAAACCGCTTCTGTCATTAGATGAGAAATACCTCTGGTGCAGAAGGGTGTCTGTACAGTTCTGTGTTCCTGGCACAATGTTTGCACTAAAAAGCCACTTACTAAATGTGCGGAGGTGAAATATTCTAGGAAAATACTCAAACGAACTTATAATTAGTTTTTTATGTTCACAGACAACTAAATTAAAACTTAAATTAGCAATTTGTCTGTCTAAAGGTTGTCGTTTCAAACTGGAATTAGAAGACTATAGAATCTTCCCAGGATAACTTTTTTTAAAGTCTTAAGCTCCTTCTCTGGGTGAAATATATATCAGTAGAACCTCAAAACCCAGCCCACAGCCATCATGAGTGCACAGAGACACAAGAACGAATGAACCGGTGGTTTTGGAAAGTTAGGGTTCCTAAGAGAGGCTGGAGGATGCTTGTATTAAAGCTACAGCACTAAAAGTTCAACCAACCACCTGTGCAAAACACAGTCCGAGAATACCTGAATGCCAGTCAGTCACTGCAGGCTGCCGCGTGGGCCAGGAAGAGCGCCTGTGCTGTTTACCTGTACAGTATGACATATTCATGCCCTTGTTTTCTGGAGAGTCTGTAGGCTGGGGTCACCCTAGTTATAGCCAGAAGAGACTTCAGCAGCAATGACAGTCTGTTGTACACCGTGTAGGAAACTTTGATTTCTTTATCACACCTGAGGAGTACAGACACGGTCAGCATTCTCCTGTGCGTGCTGGAGATACAACATCACATTTACTTTCTCATGCACTAGAAACAGGTGGGTGAGCATCACAAGGTATCCAACAGATATTTTTCTAGCTTTGAAGTGGTTCTCTAAGAAATAAAAAAGTCAATATTGTGATGATATAATCTGAAGGTGTAGGCATAAGTTGAATTTGCTGTCTTATGAACTGTGTAGCTCTATTTTTAAAAATCTAGAGGAAAAGTTGTTTGGTACTAAAATTTCGAGACTATAACTTGCCAATAGCTTTCTATCTAAGGAAGGTAAATAATGCCAATACCACATATATTTATCACTAAGGGTTTTTTTTTTTTTTTTTTTTTTTGGGGGGTTGATTTTTCCTCAATTTTCCTACACATTTTTCTTGAAAACTGAAGCTTCAGGCAGGAGGTAAGCTAATCGGCGTTAGAAGAAGAAAACAGGGAAGAGAAATAACATGCATTTCCAATCCATGACCAACAGTCTTTAAAAAGGAGCAGGAAGGGGAAATCTCATTAGACAGCCACAGAGAAAACAGACTGAACAGTCATGTTACATGAGCTCACAAGGGACTCAATCAGAGAACTCTCTGTACTTTGGAAAAACAACGAACCCTCTCAGCTTCCTCTACTGCTCCTCCCCCTGTGGTGTCTGAGTCTCTCTGGACTGACATTCCGTCTGAAGGTCATCTCATTGCTAGGCAGGCTGGAAGCCGAGTTGTAGCAAAGACCCACTGACTCTATAAGTGGTCAGAGTGCCCTCCGTGACTGAAGGCAAAGCCCTGCCTTTCACATGACATCATCTGCTCTATCCTCAGCTACCACAACTGAGTATCGAAAGGCAGAAAGTACTTACTTTTCATTCATTTCAAGACACCAAATTTCCAGCTCCATGGAATCTCCCTATAGAGATGAGACCATTATAAAATATTTCAATTTTACAATTACTTTATTTTTTACTCTGAAGCCCTAACACAGTCAATATATAAATAATGGAAGGTATAGATAAAGTATAGATAAGCAAAAAAAAAAAAAAAACACCCCCCCCCCAGCCACTTTTCTAAATGAAAGTGAAGTCATGGAGAACCAATGGATGGTGTAATCGCTAGACTCCCATGTGGTTGACTGCGGTTTGAGGCCTGGACTCTGGCTTGAAACTAATGCCAGGTGCATGGGTATGCGTGCCCAGGATCTGGAGGGGAGAATGGAAGAGAAGGGATTACAGAATGGCTGGGGGGTGATTTTACTTTCTGTCTCTGTCTCTCCAGCAAATGCATGCACTCTATAGCAAAAATATCTTAAAAAATAACAAAAACTAAAACCAAACTATGTATACTATGTTTTCAATTTTATGGCCATGCCACAATCCCTTCTTCATCCTTCTCTTGGGATTCTGGGCATGTATGCACACATGCCTGGAGTATTTTCCAAGTCACCAGGTTGAGAACTCGAATTATCTTAACCACTATGCTACCTGGCTGGCCCTTTTTTTTGAGAGAATTTTGCTATTGGGTGCGTGTGCTCACTGGAGAGACAGACAGAAAGTGAGAAATCACCTCCCAGGGGGGATGGCCACACCACAATCCCTTCTCCTCCATTCTCCTCTCGAGACGTTGGGGATGCACGCACACATGCCCAGCATGAGTTTTAAGTTGCCAGGTCCAGGACTCAGATCGTGGTTGACTACATGGGAGTCCAGTGACACAGCCATTATGCCATCTATCAGACCCTACATTGTTTTTAATGATTGAGTGGTATCCTATTCCAGTTGTTTTTCCGACCAGTCCTCCTAGTCTTGGACATACTAGTTGTTTCTAATTTTTCACTACAACAAATAACACTGTGATAAATAGCCTCACTGAGACTAACTTGTATATGTCTGCAATTTCTTTTTCTCAGGTATATATTGATATCTTAGTTATCATTTGGTTGGGATTAACTGTGCATCAGCCAGCACATTTAATGCTTTATAGTAATTTATTTTTTCTAGAGAAAGGGTCTGGCTATGTTACCCAGACCCAGTTATACAGTATTCTTTTATACAATAAATAAAATAATCTTTTTGTTGAAGTCATGTTATTTGAATAATTTTCATTCCAAAAATACCATTTAAGTACAAATTGAAGCAATGTGGATTTCCATGATGGTTTATAACATAGCAGAGCAAGTTATTTCATACAAATTAACTTTAAAAAATTATTGGGGGACCAGCAGGTAGGGTGGTGGTTAAGGTGCTGGACACTCCCATATGGCCGACTACAGTTTGAGTCCCAGACCTGGCGGCTTCCTTTCTCCCTTTCCCTCTCGCTCTCTCTCTCTCTGTGTCTCTTTCTGGTCAAATTAAAATAAATGAATAAATAAAGTTAAATAAATAATAATTTTAAAAATTTATTTTATTTAACTTTATTTATTCATTTTCATTTGACCAGAGGGGGGGAAGAAGGGGATAAAGTGAGAAAGCAAGCTGCCAGGTCCAGGACTCAAACCGTGGTCAGCCAAGTGAGAGTCCAGCACCCAGACTCCCAATCACCCTGCCTTAACCTCCCAAGTAGTTGAGACAATAGGAATGTTCCACCATGCCTGAAACTCAATTTATTCAAGAAAATTTCCAAAATTATCAATTTTCAAGGGGCCACCAGGAGGTGTACTGGTTAAAGTGCTGGACTCCCACAGGGCTGACAGTGGTTCAAGTACCAGACCCAGCAGCTCGAAAATCACACTGGGCACATGTGCATGTGTGCCCAAAATCCCAGGAGGAGAATGGAAGAGAAGGAACTGCAGTGGGCCCATCTTTTCTGCCGGGCGATTTCCACTTTCCCTCTCATTCTCTCTCTCTTTGGTGAGGACACATACCCTATGGCAAAAACCTTAAAAAAAAATTGCTAGATCAAGCTGTATACATGATTGGCCCAGCCACTGGGACACAGTGGAACCGGAACTACCCTGCAGTGCTGGAAGCCACATGGCAACTGCAGCTGGATCGTGGGATAGCCTGAAAAACATACCAGGCCTGGGATAAGGAGGAGCTAGGGTTTGGGGATGAAGATCAGGGTGCTTTCTCTCTCTTTCAAGACTTCTGATACATTTTCCCAAACTGCCCTTCAAAAAGACTGATGCCCTTCTTTTCTTTGTTTCTTTGTTTCTTTTTAAAGTACAAATCTAAGCAAGGTAATACCTTTAACTAAGTTACAAAACTTTGGCAAATCAATACAGTACTCTTTTTTTAAAAGAATTATTTTATCTAGAACCGCAGTCGACTACATGGGAGTCCACTGACATAGCCATTACGCCAACTGCTGGTCCCCCCATATAGTATTCTTTTATACAATAAATAATATTTTTGTTGAAGGCATGTTATTTGAATAATTTTCATTCCAAAAATACCATTTAAGTACAAATTGAAGCAATGTGGATTTCCATGATGGTTTATAACATAGCAGAGCAAGTTATTTCATACAAATTAACTTTAAAAAATTATT